ATCTTTAGCTGAAATAAACATCCACCTCCTTGGTGTTAGTGGGTACTTTTGCAATGAATGGAAATCAATTTTGTAAAACAACTCTGCCACTAATTATGGGGTGAGCCCCACGTACCTCCGACAGCAGTGTAAATAAGGTGAAAAGACTGGGGCGCATGGTGGAAGACGACCAAACATCAAATCATTGTGGCTTCTGTCATAAAGAGAATGAGTAGGTGAAAGCAGAAAAACAGGTATACAAAGGAAAACAATGTGGCAAAATAAAAGCCTAAAGAAGAGGCAGGATATATCTCTGTTTTGGTGCTAGGCACTTTTAGAAGTCTGCAGTATGCTATGCAGGTTGCAGCTGACAGAGCAGTAGAGACACTGCAGCCTTTAGCACTGAAATTATTGTTACTAATGACTACTTTTCTAGCAAGACTTAAAGATACCTCAGACAATAATGGGAATTTTTTAACTTAATATGAATACTGTATGAGATCCACAATTGTTTTGGCAAAAAATTTGCACTTCCCATTTAGACACATTCAGGACCAAAATTGTTGACATTAGCAAAAAAACATTGGACAGATATTCATAAACTAATGGCTCCTCCAGACATGTGGAAGGGGCTGATTTGCCATTTCCATTACATACATACATTTTGTAGTTAAAATACACACTATTAACAATATAAAGCGTTTCATTTTTCTATTATGTCAAGAATTATTAAAGATTTACTATTTACTAATGAATTTTAAAAATCTACTGACTTCTACTTGTAAATAGAAGTTCCAGAAATAAGGTGAATTAATTTGCCTGTTCTTCCTTCTCACTCTTCCTTCCACAGTTCAGGATCTCCATAGGAGAGCAGGCTTGAAAGAAATTATCTGTAACATACTTTGACTTAAATGAGATCAAAATGGTGCATACTGTTTCTTTATGTTTTCACGGAAAACCAAGTTACAACCTACAGGTTTATGTGCTCCCCTGTGTGAAAAGTAAAAGTCAGCTCTAGGATTTTTTTACTTGTGGAAAATATTTCCTTGTTTCTGTTGAAAGTTAAAATGCAAAGAAAAGTAACTTTTCTTTATTCAGTGCTTAAATTTTGAAGGTCACATCACTAGTTCTTATTTAAAAACAGTCAAAAAGTTGTCCAGTTAAACATTTGGAAAGTTATTCAGTCATGAATAATACAAACAATCCTTTGCATGGTGGTTGACTTTTTTTAATCAAAAAGACATTTCTGAGAAGTACTGTATTTTCTCCAGGAAAAATATCAGGGTCCAACCCAAGCCTTAAAAGAACAATACAGATTTGGCTGGCCTCTACCTACCAGCTTAGCTTTTAAGCCTAAAAGAAATGTTCCACTACGGCTACTCCAATGAGATTGAGCAGAAGTGGGAGCAGGAAGGGTTAACGTTTCAGTAGGTATTAATAAAGGCATTTGAGAGAAGACAAATGTGTTTTGGAAGACAATTAAGTTTTTGAGAAACCAAGTGAATGTGATGATATTAGCACATACAATCTGATATCTCTTTTTATCCTCTCAAATACAGAAGCTGAAATTGTGATATCCATTTAAGCTGAATTTGGTTAAAATTAAGTACTATTCTTAAATAGGATGAGTAAACAAATAGTAAACTTGCTGAATGGAGTGTGACCAGGTGTCATTAAAGAAGTAGCCGGGGGGGGAAATTGAAAGCTATCAGATCTTAAGCAGCAATATAATTTAATTTCAGAACAGTAAAGTGTATTCCAAAATAGGCTAGTTTATGTACACCAGTATGCTTTACTCAGCGGAACCTTTGTTTTGGGTCACCATAAATATTAGGTGCCCTGTATCTTGTAATATTCATGGCAGAGTCCTCGCAGCTCAGACTTGTATTTTTAACAAGAAAAAAGTTTATTAGTGGGTGCTGGCAGTGCAAAATACAGACAGTAAGGCCATTCTTATTACTACACTTAATTTTATACTGACAAAACAGAAAAACACAAATTGTAAATTGTTATTACCAGCAATGTTCTTACGGGTTAGCTTACAACTGGGAGTTCAATATTACATGTTTTGGTTATGCTGTCATTTCTGATTTCCCCTTCAGTTAATGCATGATACATCAATAGCATGCATAATAACATAATAATGGGCTTTCAAATGTACACCTTATAGATAACCTCAACTTCTGCCTGGATTATTTGGTCTCTCATACCCATGTTCATTCTTGAAAAAAGCAAGCGAAAACGAACATGATATCACTTCTATTTTGGCTCCTTTCTCCCAACTTCTGATTGCAAATGGTATGAAGCTGTATCACTGCAACAACACAAAGCTCTGAAGAAACAGGGCTTGCATTCTAGTAATCCACAGGGAATAATAAGGAAGATGAGCTATGAGCTTTGTGTAGTTTGCTGTGTTATCAGCAGCTGAGAGGGGTAGCAGAGGCCTGCAAGTAAGAGTAATATTAAAGGATACCATCTCGGATATGCCTTTCCAACAGACCATGATTCCTCACGTGCTTTTTCATGAGGAATGATTTTAAAGGCTAGGCAGTAAAACCTGTGACCTGCTCTACTACATAATTCACTTCTAAAGACATAGTCGTAAGAGGCTATGAGCCTTAGCTGAAGTCCTGGTCAGCAAGGAGCGTGAAGATAATGGTGGAATGTTTCCACCATGAACATTAAGATTTAGGAATCAATTCAGGCCATTGCCTTTCAGCCCAGGATTTTTACTAACTGCTGCAGATGGAAAAAGGGGTGGGAGATAGATGTCAGCCAAGGATAGTGATCAGATCTAATGTTAAAGGTGATTTCCAGTACTACAGTAGTACCAACAACAGGTGGATGACCTGGTGTTCGTCTCATCCACGTCAGTCTCTCATTGTGCATCTGAATTAGAGAAGCAGCAAGTTCTCTAAGACTCCCTGGGCAGGGCTCACATGTGCCCCATCCCTTTTTGCTGTGTCCTGCAGAACTGGAGCCTGGGTGTGTGTCTCCGGAGAAAGCTGTACCGCTTTCTGGCGAGGTCCTGGAGCCAGATGCTGGGGTGCTCAGACCTCAGCACACGCCGTGGGGCATACCTGCTGCTTAGCTTGCAGAAGCTGAGCTGCCCCCCGGTGATGCTGTCTTCCTTGAGCAGGCTGGTTGTCTTCTCTTCCCGTTAGTTACCGTGACTTTTTCTGATCTCTTTTCTTGTGTCTGTGAGCTAATGGTGGCACTAGAGAGGCTTTTGTTCCATTGTGTTATTTTAATAGGAGTTTCTCTTGATTATTTGGGTAATCCTATCCATTGCCGTGTGCACAGTTCAAGACTTCTGGAAGCTCAGGCACAAATTATCCTGATGCCCAAGAGAGAATGAGTGCAACTAATGAAGTGCTTGGATTGTCTTTGTGGTTGCAAGGCAGCATTCTTCCTGAATAGTGGGATCCAGGGGGAAGACCGAAGATACGGCTGTCTTTTGTGAAGGTGCTTTCACCTTGGAAATCTCATTTCTGTATTGTGACAAAACCTACCTCTGGGGCCGCCGGCGGGAAGCGCAGCAGTGCTAGGCACTGTCTTGTCCCGCGACTGCAGCATCTATCATCAGATCTCAAAACAGGTTTTCTCCCTCTCAGGAAGGTAATTTCTTGTCAGAGTCTCTTTTTCAATTACCGCTTTGGCTGAGAAGGCTGTGTCCGCTCCAGACGCAGGGAGAGAGCATCTATCTAACACAGACAAAGCAAAGACGACAGAATATAACATAAGATTCGGTTAATTTTCAGTGAACCTCGCTTTCATAGTCTGGCCTGCGTTCAGCCACCCGTAGGACTGGTTTACACAGAACCACCGCTTTCTTAAAACTTTTTTGTTTTGGTTACACATTACTTTCTAGACTCTGCCTTGAAATCTGTATCTCACGTTAGTTGAACGATTTTCTTTTCCTTATTATTTCCCTTTGCTGGAGCATTACTACTGTATCTTCATTTTACAGCAATGGAGAGTCAGTGTAAATTAGTCCTGAATGTAAAATAACAATACTGCTTTTTGTAGATGAGGCCCTCTAAGATTTTAGCTTGTGTGATAGATCCTTTTATAGAGCATGCTCATAAGGTCACCTATTTTATTTATTTCTTTAGTTTCTGCTAATCTTAGTATCTCAAGTAGTGGAAAAAACAAAGCACTGGAGCTGCGCTTTCTTTTTGCCTGTTGTTTGTGCCTGGTAGTGTAATCAGAGTCAGTACCATCAAGGCAGTGAGTACCATGCAGTTTTTTAAGCAAATGGAATAGCTTGTCGGAGGAAGTTTTGATCTCATTTGTATAACTTTCCTTTTTTTTGTACCACTGGCACACAAACCAAGTGTCTTAAGTGAGAAAAAGAGATTAACAGCTAGAAGTTTGTCTGCCTAATTTAGCTTCTCTAAAAGCATAAATTAATCATGCAGAGTTATAGTCACTGTGATAACTTTTTTTTTTTTTTAAATTTGGCATTTGTGTTTACATTTTTCCTACATGCTTATACTAAGTTGTAACATCTCATAAAACATAAGGTCAAGTCTGTTGCTTTCTGCATAGTTTGGTCACCTGAATTTCAACATATAAATATTTTTTTAGGAATTGAGACATAATTGTTTGCTGAATTAATTTCACTTGTATGCACAAGATAGTGAATATAATGTATTCACTAGAAAAAATATCTCTTCCTTCTGCTTTCTTGCTTGATTCTGTTTTTCCCTATGAGGATATAATTTCAGTTCTTTGGGTTTTGCCATTAACAAATCTATGATTGGGGTTTTTTTTTATGGCAGAAGTCATACAGAAAAACCCTGGTTTGTCTTATCACAGAGAACAGCCAATTTTCCCATGTAGATATTTAATCTTGGATGCTCAAAAATGAACCTGCTCTCTCATGCCCTTTCCCCTGAATGTTTGGAAATTAAATTCTAGGAGTGCATTAATAAATATTCTGTACAAAAGATTACAGTCCTATCTTTCATAGGCCCAAGCTCAGTCCCAGTTAAATTCTGTTCTTTTATCTATTGCAGATGGGGAACGCAAGGGGATTTCACCACTACTCACCCTCGGCCTGTTGTCAAAGTAAAACTCTTTACAGAAAGCACTGGGGTGCTGGCACTTGAAGATAAAGAACTGGGAAGAGTGAGTATTATGTGTAGACATGAGAAATATGTGAGGAATGATGCGTAGAAATGTGCATATTGATAAAACATGTCACAAAATGGTAAAAATATTCAGTACAGCACCTGCTTTGCTGCAGCTGTACCAAACAGTGCTTTTTCTTTTAAGTGTGTCTTTTCCTAGTGTTCAAAACGTGATATGTTGACTTGGATTGCCTTTCAGAAACTTCCATCAGGGATACATGACAGTCCTCTTTGTCTTGTTTAAATTTTTTTTTAATTCCTAGGTGATCTACCAAGCTCTCCAGATTAGGAGTGAAGGGGAGAGAGAGTTGAAGACATGGCATGCTATAAATACAGCAAACAACTGGGGAAAGGGAAGGAAGGACTTAGGTGGTGGAAGGATGGGGGGAGGGAAGGAGTGGTGGAGATATTATGTCAGATGAAAATGAGAGTTCTCACTCTTGTACTGTACGAGTTTGCCTTCTCTTTTCATGTTTTCCCTATTTTGACAGAATCATTTATCCTTCTCAGGATAAAAATCAAGGGCTAGAGAGTGCAATGTGTCATAGAAAGAAGAGGGTAGTGTGAACAAGGCAGAGAGGGTCTGGAAATCTGCCCCCCATCTCCTGTTGAACTTCTCTCCTCTGGCATGTGATGCATCGAGGATAGCTCAAGTTTTAATGCTCAGTTCTGCATTCAGTCATGGCTATTTCTCATTCAAGCAAGGGCAACTTGTTGGAAAGAGCAGGGCTCTTCCCCACTTTCTGTCCTCCATGTGCAGATGGCTACTCAAAGACAAATGCTCCCACATATCAGGGCTGCTTAGGTCAGGACTTTATCTTCAGTATTACATCTTCTTGCCTCCTACCATGTCTTTCTAAGAGGCGGCCAAGGATGGCTGAGGTGGGATCTGCATAGGAAAGATTTCCAGTAGGGGAAATAGGCCACTGGCAGGACCAGACAGGCATTGTGGCAGATACAGAGGAGCCACAGGGGTACAGCTGAGCAGGCCAGTGTCACCAATATCTGGATTCAAAACAACAAAAAGAGACACTGAAGGGGTGGACTTACAGGAACTGCATAGTGCTGTTAAACACAGAGAAGTTTCTTCTCTGTCCCTTCTCAGTCCTTTCAAAGAAGCAAAATGAAAGTCAGGGCAAAAGTGCAGGGCAGTGGAAGAGGGACTATGTGGCCATTGTGAACAGTAGCCAGCATAGTCATTGCCAAGGAGTCAGAGAAGAAAAGAAACATCAAGAGAATAAAAGAGCTAAGAATCACAGGTTTTAACAGGATCCTCTTGCTCTGCAACCTTAAGCAGCTGAAGTTCAGGTATAGGCTTTGGTCTGCTTTCTTACGCTGCATATCTGAGTTTCTAGGACAGGAGGTGAAAAAGATTTTAAATTTAAATTGTTTTAAAGAATGGAAACATTACAAAAGTAAAATACTTGTTTTCTCCAAGGCTTCCAATATGGTTTCCCACAGCCTCCTCTTGGAGAAGCTGATAGGTTATAGTCTAGACAAGTGGTCCATGTAGTGGGTGGAGAACTGACTGACAGGCTGCACCCAGAGAGGTGTGGTAAATAGCTCCTTTTCAACCAGCAACCTGTCACAAGTGGGGTCCCCCAGGGTTCGATACTGGGCCCAACGCTGCTTAATATCTTCATAAGTGACCTCAATGATGGGATCAAGTGTACCTTGATGAAGTTTGTTGACAATACCAAACTGAGTGGGGAAGTGGACACTTCGTAAGGAAGACCAGGATAGACTGCAAGAGCCTTATGAAGTTCAACAAGGACAAGGTCTTGCACCTGGGAAATCATAATCCAGGAGTGCAGCACAGGCTGGGATCTACCGGGGGAGCAGCTTTGTGGAAAGGGACCTGGGGGTCCTGCTGGACAAGAAGCTAAGTATAAGTGAACAGTGCCACTGTGGCAAAGAAAGCCAACATGATGCTGGGTTGCATCACCAGCAGAATTACAGAAGACCTTATTCCAGTCTACTCAGCACTTGTCAGGCCACATCTGGAAAACTGTGCTCGTTTTTTGTCCCTGCTATGCAAAAAAGATGCGGACAGGCTGGAGAGGTTCTCGAGAAGGGCCACAAAGGGGATCAAAAGACTGGGAAACCTGCCGTATGAGGAAAGGCTGAGAGAGCTGGGTTTGTTCAGCCTTGAGAAAAGAAGATCTATTGCCAAGTTCCAGTATTAAAAGGGTGGCTACAAAGAAGATGAAGACTCCCTTTTTATGAGGAGTCACATGAAAAAGACAAGGGGTAATGGCAAAAAAGTTACTTCTGGGGACATTTTGATTGGACAAAAGAGGAAATTTTTTCACAATGAGAACAATCAGACATTGGAATAATCTCCCCAGGGAAGTGTTGGATTCCCCAGCATTGAACACTTTTAGGATTTGGCTGGGACGGGGTTCTGGCCATCTTGTCTACACTGTGTTTTTGCCATGAAAAGTTGGACCAGATGATCCTAGAGGTCCCTTCCAACCTGATATTCTATGATACTGAATATAGCTTTCACCTTAACTGGGGCCCCATATGGTTTGTTTTGTGTTTTTTCCCTGCCTCCTCTACCTTCTCACTCTCGGCTGCCTTCTGACACATCAGTATTTGTCAGCTGGTCAAACCGGTTTAAGAAGGCAATAACTTTCCTTTCTTGGTTGGGAGTGGCAAGAAAATAAAAACAGGTAGTTTTTAGGGCTAGGACTGAGCTCACTGCCCTGCTGTTGGAGCCTGACCCAGCTTTATGTCTGTTCAGTACACTGCAGTGACTTGCAGGAGTGCAGCTGATTCAATTAGGTTTGGTATGCTCTGAAAAGGCCTGAAGATTGTTCTGGTAGTATTTTTTCTGTACTTAAAAATTCAGCTCAAACTTGCCCCTTCTGAGGTAGGCTTGCTGTGGACATTAATTCTCATCTGTCAAGAACTTTCTTCAGAGCATGTGTCTTGACCTGATACCACTTCTCTGCATTATTGAAGTTTTCATTTCCCATACCCTGTGGTTATTGTGAAGGTTTTGTTCTTTTTAATCTATAATTAGGAATAGAAGGCAGCATCAAGCTACATGATTTGAATTTTGAACTTCCATTGCATACCAAAGGGTTTCTTCTGCCACCAAGGGATCGGCTTTTTATGAAAGCAAATCTGAGGTGTGAAATGTGGAGCCAGCAAAGTTTTCCCCACAGCTATAGAGGAGAAGGCGTTTCCATTCACCCAATCAGTGCATGGCAGTCTCTCACACTTAGGAACTTAAGATGTCGGTCCTGACCTCAGTATGATGGCACTACACCTCCTAGGTTTAAGGAGGAGACATTGCTGATTTCCAGCCAGTTTATGTTGGAGCAGAAGGGATGCAGGCTCATGCTTTCAGTAGAGAGGGTAGACCATACTTACAGCTTCATAAATTCCCTCTTGGGAAGCAGAGCCTGGCGGCTGCTCAGCCTCTGCTGCTAAAGTCAGTAGGTGAGCACAGAGGGACAGAAGTGTTGTTGTCTGTATTTAACATCTCTCCTCAAGGCATTTAATCTGTGCTTAACCGAGAGGAAGTAGTACTTATTATGGCACTTGTCTGACATTGCTCTTTTCCTCTAAAAAACCCAAAATAAATCCGGTTGTGAACGCCAAGAGAAGATTTTGCTTGCTGGGGGATATTCTTCTGGCTCGCTGCTGACCACTTTAAAGGTCTAAAAATGAAAACCAAATCTTAACCTTTATTCTCTGTCCAACACGAACTGGGCAGTTGGACAAACTCCACTGAAAGGAAAGAATGGAGATGTGCTGCACAGGAAGGGAAAGGATGTTATTGGATTTCAGTTCTGGAGAACGTGAACGTCTGGAGTCAGGGTCTGTTTCTGTCGTGCAGAGCTGTGCATACAGTGAGCCACTGAATTTAACTTCCAGAAAGCGAGGCAGGCTGCATTTTTGAAGCTGTTTCTTCTAAGGAAGTCACCGAGGTGAAGGGCTCCGAAGCAGAGGATCGAGTCAGAGGACCCTTCCTGAAGTGGCAAAATCCGTGGAGGAACAAGCTTCTAAAAGTGCAGGGCAGAGAGAGAGAGGAGACCCAGACCCTTGCCGAGCAGGAGGAGTGAGCTGTTGGGGCGCTGCTGACCAGAGGCAGCTCTGCCTCAGCATGGGCTGGGACGGGAGTGATGGTGGCCAAACCCCTCATGGACGAGGGCCAGCCTTCATTGAGCACAAGCGGCCCAGAGCTCAGGAGCAGAGCGTGGCATGGCAGGCAGGCAGGTGAGGCGTGTGGCAGGGCCCAGCCATGGTGGCCACTCGGCTGAAAGCCATCGCCAGGAAGAATGCCGCGACCCAGATGGTGCTCCCGCTCAGGGATGCTGCAGGGAGTACCTCAGCCTGTCACTGTACCTGAGGGCAGCAGAGACAGCCTCTGTGTGACAGGTGACAGATGCCCAGAGCCTGGAGAAGAATAGCAGGTCACCAGGAGAGCACCTGGCAAACAAAACAAGAGAATTCCAGCTGCTCCAGTCAGCAAGCCAACTTCATTGGGGGCCCATCTTAAATGCATCTGTGCGAATGCATGGACCATGGGAAAAAAAGAGGAATTAGAAGCGTTGTGCACGCATGAGGGGCCGTGACCTCACTGGCATCGTGGAGACTTTGTGGGATAGCTGCTATGACTGGCGTGTCAGAATGGAAGGATACAGGCTCCTTAGGAATGACAGGCCTCTCTAAATTGGAGAGGCATGGATTTGATGGATGGACCGCTTGGTGAATAAGGAACTTGCTTGATGTTCTCACAGCGACTTGTGGTCAGTGGCTTGATGTCTGAGTAGAAACCAGTGAGGAGCTGCATTCCTCAGGGGTCGGTGTTGGGCCCAGTAATGCTTAACATCTTTGTCAGTGACATGGATGATGGCATTGAGTGCACCCTCAGCAAGTTTGCGACGACACCAAGCGGTGTAGCGCGGTTGACACGCTGGAGGGAAGGGATGCCATCCAGAGGGACCTGGACAGGCTGGAGAGGTGGGCCACTGCCAACCTCAT